GAAAACAGGAAGCTGGCCCCTGGGCCCTAGTTTGCTAATTTTATGTTTAAAAATAATAATAACATATTTATTTATTTATATTTGAGGAGAGGGTCTTGCTCTGTCACCCTGACTGAAGTGCAGTGGCTGGTTATTATTAGCTCACTGCAGTCAAATTCCTGTACTCAAGCCTCAGCCTCTATCTGGGACTTCAGGCACACACCACCACACTCTGCTAAGTTTTTTTTTTTTTTTTGGTAGAGATGGGGAGTCTCACTATGTTGTCCAGATACATCTTGAATGCCTGGCCTCAGGTGATCCTCCTTCTGGCCTCCCAAAGTGCTGGAATTACAGGCTTCAGCCACTGCACCTGACTGATTTTGTAAATATTGCATTCAGTTATAATTTCGTTTGTTACTGAGGTCTTCTTCCTTGCCTTCTTAAAATTTGTACTTAAGGCAAATACCTCCTTTGCCTCACCCTGGTCCTGGCTCTGGTCTGCCCCCAGGGCCCATGGTTTAGTTGGAAGACCCTAGAGACTGACCCCCCCCATGCCCCCAGGGAGGAAGAAGGCTGTGAGTGGTTCTCATCCTTACCATGCTGCTTTGAGGGGAAGCTTCTTCCTTCCCCTTATCTGGGGCGGAGTGGGCCACTGCCACTTTAAGGGCAACCCTCAGAAGTGACCTTACCTAGGGTGGGGCCAGGAGGGGAGGATGATGGAGTTCTTAGAAAGTTAAAACTGGGAAGAGGTCATCTAGATAGCCCATGATGAAGCAGAGACAGGCTCATATGCCACAAGAAGGCCAGGGCAGAGGCTCAACAAGGTCTCTGGTCTTTTGCCCTCAGCTCTCTTGTCACCTGCCTGTGGGGCATGGGTTTGAATTCTCCACCTGTCAGGGGTGGGGAAGAGTGAGCCCTGGGACCACTGAGACGGTGTCTTCTCTGCTGGACTGTGAGCCCTTGAAAGCAGGGCAAGCCCAGAGCCCAGCCAAGCACATGCGTGAGGGGACAGGCAGGATTCCTTCCAGAGAGCCTCCCTGGCTCTGATGGTGGGCTGTAGGATGAAGTTTATTTAGCCATTTGGGGACTGAGGGTTTTTCTGAGGGGAGTCAGCTGGGGAGAGGAAGGGCATTCATAGTCAGCCTGAGCAGGGATGGATGCTTAATTTCACAGTGTTTACTATGGGTGTGACTTAGCTACTTCAAGCCTTGACTTTCATTTCTGGAGAATGAGGACTCGTAGCATTACTGAAGTGAGGTAATCTGTGAAGGGTGGCTGACCCAGCGCTAGCACTGTGAAATCTTAGCTCTTTGCTTCTGTCTCCAGGTGCTCATTCAATCCCATTCCTGGGACTAACATTCTATCCCTCAACCAGGCAGTTGCTTTGGGAATTAGTGATTCCTCTAGGATTCATGTCCTCTGTCCCCCACCCATTTCTCTGCTCACCCACCTGCACCCTGACAAAGTACCCCAGTGCTTAGAATGGGCCAGCATGGAGCTGTTTAGCTCAATCTGACCACAGAGGACCCCACATCAGGACGTGCTGGGCCAACAAAGGGTCCTAAGGTAAATGCCCGACTGACCCCACAACTCCTGTACCCTAAAACCCTAGAGTCCCCTCCTTCCCTACATCTTCTGTCCCAGACTGCTCTTCTGCCTGCACTCTTGTTCCTGGCAGGCAGGCAGGCAGGCTCCCCAGGTGGTCCGGGTTCTGGCTGCTGAGGGAAAAGCTGCCCCTCTTGTTGAAGGGCTCTGACTAGCAGGGCTGCAGCTCCCCCTCCCCTGCTTTCACTGTCTCCAGGGATGCTGATTCGATTTCCTCCAATCGCCAGCATTGCCATCTGCCTACAGTAATTAAATGATATTTGAATTGAATCCAGAAATCCCACTACAGGCAGCCACGTGGTAGGGAGGGTGTCTTCGGGAGCTGATGCTAGCCAGCAGAGCTGGGGCCCTCAGAGGCTACCTGGGCCAAACCCTTGGTTCACCTGAGGTCACTTGGATACCCTGAGGGCAAGTGCTTGGTCTTGGGTCTTGCAGCCCTGGGCAGAGCCAGGTCTGAGAGCCAGAGTGCCAGATTCCTGTCTTGGGCTATCAATGCCACGCCCCTCCCTCTAAGGCTGCTGCCTGCTCTCTCTCCCTGCACATATGAGATGTTCCTTTCCCTGGGCACTCTGAACCCTGGTCCTTAGAGACAAATGTAGCATGGAACCATTGAAGAGGCAGTGCATGCAGACTGCCTGGGTTCAAGCCCTGGCTCTGCTCCTGACTGGCCGTGACTGACTGTGCACCATCTCAGCTTCCTCATCCATCAATGAGGGTAGTAATACTTACCTCATGGTGTTGTCATGAAGATCAAGGGTAAACATATGGCAGTGCTTAGACACTACCTGGCAGGGAGTGAGTGCTCAGTGTGTGTCATTAGTGGTAGAGGTTGGAGTGGGCAGAGACCTTACTGATCCTGAGCTCTCACTGGAGGCTCAAGTTTCTGGTCTGCAGGTCCGGAAGGATGAGCAAGAATCAGCCATTCCCTTCCCAGGCAGAAGCCCTTTCAGGTGGGACACTGAGAAGCTGGGCTCCCATTCCAACTTGGCCCAGGATGGCCAGATAAGGGTGGTGACCATTCCTTTCTGGGGAGAGATACTGACAACACTTCTAAAGAAAGCCCAAGCCGGGCTCGGTGGCTCAGCCTGTAATCCCGTGCTTTGGGAGGCTGAGGTGAGTGGATTGCCTGAGCCCGCGGGTTCGAGACCCACCTAGGCAACTTGGCAAGACCTCATCTCTACAATAAATCAAAAAAATTAACCGGGCGTGGTAGTGCACGCCTGTAGTTCCAGCTACTTGGAAGGCTGAAGCAGAAGGATCGCCGGAGCCCAGCAGGTCGAGGGACAGAGTCTGGGGACAGAGTAAGACTCCAGTCTGGGGACAGAGTGAGACTCCAACTCAAAAAAAAAAAAAGAAAGCCCAAGCTCCCATTCATGGGTAGGAACTGGGCCTGGTGTAGCTCACCCTCAGCCCTCCCCCCAGGGGTTACCCCACCTCCCCACCTCAGGTGAGCACTTCTACCAACCTGCAGCTCTGAGTGGACCTTGGGGGCTGGAAAGCTGGGGACAGAGACAGGATGGTGACTTGGAGACCCTGAGCTCTGCAGCTAGACGCCTCTGGGCCCTGGATGGGTGCTGGCCTGGCCCCTGGCATTCTTTCTTCTTCTGGTAAATGTTGGCTTTGGGAGAGGGAACCTGACAAGCAGCTCATTGTGAGTGCCTGCTGACAGGCTAGCTTGTGTGAGCCCATGGGCATACGAGCCTAGCCCACCCTTCTTTTGCTTTAGGGAGTTGGGGGTGCTTTCTGCCAATCCCTGCACATGCATGCTCACTGTTTTGGGCTTGGTTGCCATGGAGACCTCATCATGGTGATGGCTGCTTGGAAGAAGGAGGAAGGGGTGGCTGGATGGAGACAGTTCTGTCCATGGTTGGCTCCTTACTCAGTCCTGGTGCCACTTTTCCCCGCTCTTCCCCCAGGATCTGGGTTGTGAGCCCACGCTTTGGCTGGTCTGGTATCCCTTCTGGAGGTCCCTGTCCTTGACTAGGAACTTTGGACTTGACCTGGTCAGCCAGGATTGTGCTTGGTCTGGCCTCTCAGCTCCTGGGAAGGAACCAGAGCTTGTGTCTGAGAATGTCTGCCAGGCTGCGGCATCTGAGAAGTGGACTCCTGGGCTGGAGGACCCTAGCAGCCCCCATAGGCATTGGCAAGGCCCTGGTCCCCTCTAGAACTTAGTTGTAGCTCTGGAGATGTGGTCTAGAGCAGTGGGGAGCAGCCAGGCCTGTCTCTCTCTTCCCTACTTTGGCCCTGAGCTTTGTGTCCCCAGAGGTGGACAAGTTGTCTTCTTCTTCTGAAGAGAGTCTGATTTCTAGGGCTCCCAGTCCAATCAGGAGTATGTGTCTTTATGTCACACAGACCTGGATTTGGCTCCATCGCTTTCCATTATACAACCTTGGGCAAGTAATTTAAACTCTCTCAGCTTCAATTTTCTTATCTGTAATATCAGACAAATAGTAGGCACCACAAAAGTTTATGGTGAAGAATACATGAATTCATTTATGTAAAGTACTTTTTTATTGTTGTTGTTTCTTGAGTTGGAGTCTCACTCTGTCACCCAGGCTGGAGTGTAGTGGCACGATCATGGCTTTCTGCAGCTTTGACTTCCTGGGCTTTCTCAACCCTTCCGCCTCAGCCTCCTGAGTAGCTGGGACTACAGGAGCATGCTACCACATCCAGCTAATTTTTTGTTTTTTTTTTTTGCAGAGACGAGGTCTCACTATGTTGTCTAGGTTGGTCTGAAACTCCTGGGCTCAAGGCAGTCATCTCGCCTTGGCCTCCCAAAGTGCTGGGATTATAGGCACGAGCCACTGCTTCTGGCCAATTTATTTTATTTATTTATTTATTTATTTATTTAAGTTGGCGTCTCACTCTGTCACCCAGACTGGAGTGCAGTGGCCACTCCCAGCCACCGCAGCCTCGACCTGCTGGGCTCCGGCGATCCTTCTGCCTCAGCCTTCCAAGTAGCTGGAGCTACAGGCGTGTGCTACCATGCCCGGCTAGTTTTTTTATTTATTTATTGTAGAGACGAGGTCTCGCCAAGTTGCCCAGCCGGGTCTCGAACCCGTGGGCTCAGACAATCCACTCACCTCAGCCTCTCAAAGCACAGGATTACAGGCTGAGCCACCGAGCCTGGCTTCTGGTCAATTTATGTAAAAGTACTTTCAATGCAGTTCTGATGTTATACACTAAGTGCTTAATAAATGTTAGCAACTGCTGTTTTGGTGATGTTGATATTGTTGTTATTATTATCTTATTACCAAAATTAACTCTATCCTCTGGGACGCTTCTGAGCATCCTTCCTTCTCCTCTAGCTTCTGGGGGTTGTGGCAGCTTGGCAGGCCATGGGAGGGAGAAGTTTGAGGCAGCCCCTCCCCCTACCCAGCTGGACCTGACCCAGGACTCTCCCTGTCCTGGGCAGGATCCGGCCCCAGTTGTCAAAGGAGAAGATTGAGGGCTGTCACATCTGTACCTCTGTTACTCCGGGAGAGCCCCAGGTCCTGCTGGGGAAGGACAAGGCCTTCACCTATGACTTTGTCTTCGACCTGGACACGTGGCAAGAGCAGATCTACTCGACCTGTGTGAGCAAGCTCATTGAGGGCTGCTTCGAGGGCTACAATGCCACAGTGCTGGCCTACGGGCAGGTAAGCTGCCTTCACTCCCACCAACGGCCACCCCAGCCTTGGTCCCCTGTATCTGACGGGGGATAGCCCCATCCTCAGAGCATGTGAGTTGCAGCTGCACAGTCTCTTCCGCTGTCCAAGGATGCTGCTGCACTGTTGCTTAGCAGAGGGAGGGCTGTCAGCCAGAGATGCCCTGGAGTGTGGCTTTGGGACCAAGAAAAGGGGCAGGAGAACCAGGCCAGGAGGCAGGTGGGCTAAGGGGATTGGGCCCAGATGCAGGGCTTGCTGAGTAACACCTTCTTAATATCTTTGCCAATGCAGACAGGGGCCGGGAAAACATATACCATGGGCACTGGCTTTGACATGGCGACGTCGGAGGAGGAGCAAGGCATCATCCCGAGGGCCATCGCACACCTCTTTGGGGGGATCGCCGAACGCAAGCGGCGGGCACAGGAGCAGGGTGTGGCTGGGCCTGAGTTCAAAGTCAGCGCTCAGTTTCTGGAGGTACTATGGGCCAGAGGGAGACTTGGTGGACTGCAAGATGGAATGAGCCTAGGGAGCCATGGGGGTATCTACAGGTGATGAGTTTCCTGCTGCCAGAAGAGTCCAAGCAGGGGCTGGAAAATGACGTGGTAGGACCTTCTAAAGGGGTTTCCTGTATCAGATGGAGCTTGAGTCAATGACCTCTAGGGTCTCTTCAACCTTGACTGATTCTAGCTCTGACGCTTATCAGCCATGTGACCTTGGGCAAGTCAATTCACCCTTCTAAGCCTCAGCTGCAAAATGGGGATGGTACCTGTTTCCTTAGGGGTTTTGTGAGGGTGGCACAGAAGCATAGACCTGGCACATAGGGGCAAGTCTAGTTTTCTCCTTTCCTTCTTGCCTTCTCTGGGCCCTTCCCTAGCCTCAGAGGCCGGCCCTGTCCCTTTTGGCTGAGATACCTTCTGTCCCTCTGAGTCTTCTCTGACCCCAGGGAGAAGTCAGGCCCAGAGCTGTGGCAGCCAGGGGCTTTTAGGGGTGGGAGGGGTCTCTGGGCTCTTCCTTTGGGCCTTTGCCGAGCCCTACCTCAGTGCCCTGAGGTGGCAGCTCCCTCCTGTAAAAGGGTTCCTCTCAAAGGGGTTTCTAGGAAGACAGGCAGACCTGAATGTTTCTCAGAAGAGCCTGACTTAACCCAGTTCCTCTCTAAGATACTTGGATGGGAAGCTTCACTTCTCAGCATCTAAAAACTCAACACAAGGGCCACAGTGCTGGTATGCTGACTGGCTTTGGAGCCCTCCTGTGCACTTACCCCATCAACCCTCATGCTCTGATGGTACCCAGGTTGTCCTGTGAGGGAGAGCTGTGGCCTCAGCCCTCTCCAGGCCTTCCTGTTCCCCATGCCCTGTCTGTTGCACCAGAGTTATTCCTTCCTGCCACACAGGCTGTCTACTTTCCTCTAAGGGTGCCCAGTATTTTAGATTTGAGAGTTTTTGTTTGTCCTTCTGAACTTTTGCTTCTGATAAGTGTTATGTGTGTGTGTGTGTGTGTGTGTGTGTGTGTGTGTGTGTGTCCTGCTCTTTGTGTATGTCGTTAAGCTTTTCTCTCACATCTTGTTTTCATCCCTTTTTCATCCTGTTACCATAGAGATCCCCCAAGAGCAGGCTGGTTCTTAGAAAAATCAATGCCAAAGGATGAACCACAAGTGGTTAAATGATGCAGTGTGTCTGTCCCAACACAGACAGACAGACACTATGGCCACCCATCTACTCCATCCCTTCTGTTTCCTCTTCCCCTTCCTGTGGGATATTTCTGTCCATTTAAGCCATCAAAGCCTCGGATGTCCGAGGGCTGCGGTCTCCCCCTTTGCCCTACAACTTTTCTTGGCTGCTGTCCTAGCCGTCCCCGACCCTTTTCCCACTCCCCTGCCCCAGCTTCCAGCCTGCTGGGCATCCCAGACCTTTAGCTTTCCCTGTCAGGGGTTCCCAATGCAGGAATCTCTATGGCTGACACCATCCGAAATGGGAGCCTACTCCTGGCCAGGCCACATCTGCACAATGGTCTCACCAGGCTCCCTCTTCAGTAGGCTGGGCCGTCATGGCATGCTCTCCATGCCCACCTCTGCTCCTGAGCACAGTGCAGGCACACAGACGCATTCCTCCGCCACCAGAGCTTATCGTCACCTCAGCCCCCAGGGATGGTCAGGATCAGGGCATGATTCCCCGGTCTCCACTGAGCTCTGTCCTGATTCTCATCAGGAATCACGTCCCCATCCCCTGTTTCCCAGCCCTGCTATATAATAGGACCTGCCCACATCATGGTCATTCCTTCCTCATCTCCTACATCCGGGACCCGTGTCCCTTTGAACCCATTAAGTCCTCAGCCCCTCGCTGGGACTGAGAGCTGCTAAGTGCTGGTTCCTTGGGGAGCTGAGAAACAGGGTACAGCCCCAGGAGGGCTCTGCACAGGGCCCCACTGTCCTCCCACTCTGTCCTGGAGAGAGATCGTGGGATTCAGAGCCCGGAGGGGACCCTCCAGAGCTTCAGTTTCTACATCTACAAAACAAAGAGAGTTTATGAGCATGTGACAAGCCCCTGGAGCCCCACGCTGTGTGCCCTGCGAATCAGCAGCCATTTCTTCCCCTCACAGCTCTACAACGAAGAGATCCTTGACCTGTTTGATAGCACCCGTGACCCCGACGCCCGCCACCGCAGGTCCAACATCAAGATCCATGAGGATGCAAATGGTGGCATCTACACAACGGGCGTCACTTCTCGCCTCATCCACTCCCAGGAGGAGGTGAGCATTCCCTGGAGGTCTGGGGCAGACACAGGCACCCTAGAAGGGCGAGGACTGGCACCAACAGCAGTCCTGAGTCCTAACTTCTGTTTCCATCCCCAGCTGATCCAGTGCCTGAAGCAGGGAGCCCTGTCACGCACCACAGCCAGCACCCAGATGAATGTGCAGAGCTCCCGCTCCCATGCCATCTTCACCATCCACCTGTGCCAGATGCGCGTGTGCACCCAGCCCGACCTGGTGAGACCTCGGGGGAACTGGGAGCTGGCATGCTGCAGGGCATCCCAGGGAGGGTAAGATGAGGCACCACGGATGCAGAGATAGCACGCCAGAGTTGGGGCTTGCCTCTGTGTGCCACTGTGATTTTTCCTTTTTCTTGGGTCTCATTTACCCCATCTGTACAATGGGCTCCTGCTCTCTTTACAGCATCATTGTGTCACAAGGGTTAAGTGAGAAACAGGCATGTGCAAGTGCTGTGTGGGCTGTCAGACACTCTGCATGTGCAAAGGGCAGGGAACCCGGCAACCTGCCCTGCCTCTCCCAGATGGCAACGCTGTGAGCAGAGGAGCAGCAAGGTGGGCATGGGCTGGTGGAGTCAGATGCCAACTTCTGCTGCAGGTGAATGAGGCAGTGACTGGGCTCCCTGAGGGTACAGCTCCCACGAGTGAATATGAGACACTCACTGCTAAGTTTCACTTTGTGGACCTGGCCGGCTCAGAGCGGCTGAAGCGGACAGGGGCCACCGGCGAGCGGGCCAAGGAGGGCATCTCCATCAACTGCGGCCTGGTAGGTTTATGGCGGGTCACAGCCCCAGTGACAAGCACAGCTCAATCTCAGACCCTCCCAAGGCCCCCCAGACCCCATGGCTTCCTGGTCCTCCTTGGGCCTCTTTCCAGCTAGCCCTTCACCTCTCACCCCTGCCCCCAACTTTCTGATTTCACCAGCTTGTCACATCTGCTTACAATCCCCCCCAGGGAGCCCAAGGGTACAGATGGCAGAGCCGTCTAGCCCCTGCTCCTCCCTTCTTGAGTGACTCTTGAGTGCCAGGGCCTGTCTCCCACAGCTGGCCTTGGGCAATGTGATCAGTGCCTTGGGGGACCAGAGCAAGAAGGTGGTGCACGTGCCCTACAGGGACTCTAAGCTCACTCGGCTCCTGCAGGACTCGCTGGGAGGCAACAGGTATCTGATGATCAACACCCAGTGAGGGAGGAGGGGAGGTAGGGAGGCTCCTGGAGAATACTGATGTGAGGGTTTGGCACATGATGGCCCCGTGGTGGAGGAGGCCTTCCCATCCCAGGCTGCAGGTTTAGGAGGTAGGAACCAGGCCAGGTGTGGTGCTCATGCCTGCTATTCTAGCACTTTGGGAGGCCAAGGCAGGATTGCTTGAGCCCAGGAATTCGAGGCCAGCCTGGGCAATATAGCGAGACCCTGTCTTTATTTAGAAAGGAAAGAAACCTTAAAAGTAAAAACGGAAATGGGAGCCCTGAGACACTCCATGACCTTTGACCTGTTAGAGTCAGACTCAGTTTCCTTATCTGTACAACAGGGAGGGATATTTCTAAAGGAAGTCATATGACCCAGATGAGATAATAGCTGGGAAGTGCTAGAAAATGTCGGGGCTGTGGCTCATCCTCACCAGAGGAGTCTGGCTGTTACACAGCATAACCTCCTCAAGCTTGTTGGCCACCTCCATTGTTGTCACCCACCTTTGCAGTGGAGTCTTAGCCAAGTGGCTCGGGTCCCCACATCCCAGGTTCTGCCTTCCTGAGTGCCCAGGTCCTTCAGGCATCGAGGCAGCAGGGGATCGGGGTAGGAGCAGAATCTCTACTCTGAGGCAATGCTTCTGGGGCTCATGGTGTTCCTCAGTCTCACCCCACCTTCCTGCACCCCCAGCCAGACCATCATGATCGCCTGTGTGAGCCCCTCGGACCGAGACTTCATGGAGACCCTCAACACACTCAAATATGCCAATCGGGCCCGCAACATCAAGAACAAGGTGGTGGTGAACCAAGACAAGACCAGCCAGCAGATCAGTGCGCTGCGGGCTGAGATTGCGCGCCTGCAGATGGAGTTGATGGAGTACAAGGCGGTGAGAGCATGCTCACGGGCGCTGACCCGTGCCCTGGGCATACTGTGTGTGCCCTGCGGTCTTGCCCTGACCTCCCCAGCAGCACTTCTACCTCCCCATCACTCCCCACACCCCTCCTGAGCATCAGCTGTGTGCCAGGCAGCAGACTGGGGCTCTCCCCGGTGAAGCAAGCACAGTCTGAGTCCACAGATTTTAGAATACTAGTCTGAGAAAGAGCACCTTGGCTTTTGGAGCATGCATAGGGCAGGCACTCTCAGGGTTTTTTTGTGTGTGCTGAATGTGCTGTGTTGGAACAGGTGAGACTGCTGGACTGTGATACAGAATAGTTGATAATGGCCAGCCTGGGCAACCTAGTGAGATCCCATCTTTACAAAGAAAAAAATTGAATAAAAAAATTAGCTGGGCATAGTGGTGTGGACCTGTAATCCCCACGCCTGGGGGAGCTGAGACAGGAGGAGTGCTTGAGCTCAGAGCTCAAGGCTACAGTGAGCTATGATCCCACCGTGGCACTCCACACTCCAGCCTGGGAGACAGAGGAAGACCTTGTCTAAAAAAAAATTGATAATGGGGCCACAGGAGTAGTCCATTGTGCTGCAGGGGGACAGAGGAAAGAGTTGGCCCTACTCACTCAGGTAGTCAGGGAGAGCTTCATGGAGGAAGGGAGCTTTATGTGAATTTTGAAGAACAAATGAGGTGTCAGCAAAAGGAGATAGGGCAGTCATGCTAGGTAGAGAACAAGCCATGTACAAAGGAACAGAAGTGGGAGGGAAATGGATTTTCTGGGGAATCTACTTACATGTTACTAAGGCAAAAGTCACAAACTGTTTCAAATAATGCAACTTGTCACCCTTTCTGTAAACCAGGGTACTTCAGCTTTTCCGGAAAACTATGAAGATCTAACAGCATATGGCACTAAGTTGACTGGGTGGCATAGCAGCTTCCCTTTTTAGACTGAGTCTGGACTCTGTTAGCTCCAGTCTCTACCACTCTCTGTTGTCTTATACCCAGGCTGACTCATTTATGCCAGCTGCCTGACCAGGGAGGGTTTCGACCCTTAAACTAGCATTTATGGAGACATGACAGTGGGCAGTAGGGTGGATGGAGAAAGTCTGTGGGAGTCTTTGAGTGGCTGGTCACGAATTTGGATTTTTGTTGTTGTTGTTGGCAAGGGACGTTATATAAGGTATTTGAGCATTGTTACGGAGAAACTGGGCAACAGAGGCTGGCACGTGCTGCCACATCCAGGGGCAAGGACAGGGCGCTGGCAAAGGGAGGTGCATCGTTACCCCTTTCCCCTGCCTGCCAGCCCCGGCACCTGACTGCTCTCACATGCCCCTGCTCCCAGGGCAAGCGGGTGATGGGAGAGGACGGTGCCGAGGGCTACAGTGACCTGTTCCGGGAGAATGCCATGCTGCAGAAGGAGAATGGGGCGCTGCGACTGCGGGTGAAGGCCATGCAAGAGGCCATCGACGCCATCAACAACCGTGTCACCCAACTCATGAGCCAAGAGGCCAACCTGCTGCTGGCCAAGGCCGGTAAGTCGGGGTGTGCCTGGCCAGCTCAGAGCACCCATGGACTGGGACCCACTCACCCCACACCCACCCCAGGGCATGGGGCTAAGCCCCCAGTCCATTCACAGATCAACTCGTGTGCATTCTTTTCCAGTGGAAACATTTTTGGGTGACACAAGTAACATGGAAACACATCCTTCTTAGGAAATGTACAAACAGAACGTCTGTATAAAAAGTGAAAGGTTGAAATCCCTTTTCCTGAACTCTCCACCCCAAGCCCTCTCCACTTCCCAGAAGGGACCTTCATGACAGCTTGGTACATTTTTTCCCAAACTTTCTCAGAACATTTGTTTCAAGTATTATTGTGTATTTATATACATTGTTATATGTCTGCGTGGATATATATTACTTTTTCTATGACTTCCTTTTTTCATTTAGCATTATGTTGTAGAAATTGTTCCATATTAAAACCTACACTTAAGCTGGTTGTGGTGACTCATGCCTAGAATTCCAACACTCTGTGAGCCTGAGGCAGGAGGATCGCATGAGCCCAGGAGTTGCTCAGCCTGGGCAACATTGTGAGACCTTATCTCTACAAAAAATCAAAAAATAATTTAAAAAAACCATAACATGCACAAAACTACACATACACACATACCCAATAAAAACTTCTTTTAAACTTCTACATGATGTTTTGTATGTGACAATGAAGAATAATGTATTATAACAGCTCTCTATGGATGGACGTTTAGGTTGTTTCCAGTTTCTTGCTATTACCAACAGTGCTGTGTCCGCCTAAGAACATGTACAAGTATTTCTTTGATATTCATTCTTTTTTGGAAAAGGCCCATGGGAGCTACCCTGTTAGAGAGACAGATCCAGGACTGGCAGCCTCAGAGCTGAAGCCCTTGCTGTCATTTCTTTTCTTATCGCACCCTCCTTCTGGCCTCCCTTTCCAGGTGATGGCAACGAGGCCATTGGCGCTCTGATCCAGAACTACATCCGGGAGATTGAGGAGCTGCGGTAAGTAATCCCCAGCCGGTGCAGGCAGGCTGCGGGGCCTGGGCCGGGCAGGGCCCAGAGAGCGATGCTGCCTCACCTGGCACCACCCACTCGTTTCGCCCACACAGGACGAAGCTACTGGAGAGTGAGGCCATGAACGAGTCCCTCCGCCGCAGTCTCTCCCGGGCCTCAGCTCGGAGCCCCTACTCCCTGGGTGCTTCTTCGGCTTCCCCTGCCTTCGCTGGTAGCCCAGCCAGCTCCATGGAGGATGCCTCTGAGGTGATCCGCAGGGCCAAGCAGGACCTGGAGCGGCTCAGAAAGAAGGAGGTCAGGCAGCGCAGGAAGAGGTGAGTGGCGTGCTGCCCCCGCAGAAGCCCCCACCCCGCGGACCTGCCCACCTGTGTTCAGGAAGCCACACCCAAGGGAGCACATGGAGCAAATGTGCTCAGCCTTTGGGGCAGAGAGCCTTCGCCCCACCTTCTCCAAAGCTATGCTTTCCCCCAAGGAGAGAAAGTATAGAGAGTGACCAAGGTTTGCTCTGAGTGCTGCACTAGAGAGGAGTAGTGGGATTCTCTGCAGAGCAGGAACCCAGTCCTATTCCCCTGTCCTTTGGGCAGGGGTATTCCTTGTCATGCCCCATGCCCCTGCCACAGGCCCAAGGCAGGGTTAGTCTCCCCCGCCCCATCTAGCCTCCCCTTTATTCCACGAGCAGCCCTGAGAAGGAAGCCTTCAAAAAGAGGGCAAAACTCCAGCAGGAAAACAGCGAGGAGACGGATGAGAATGAGGCTGAGGAGGTGAGGACCACATGCCCCGTCCTCGTCCCAGTCATGGGCCTGTGTCCCTGTCCCTGCTGGGGTTGGGCCAGTCAACATCTTTGCACAGGGTGAGGGAGGGGGTGGGGCCTGCAGTCCGCATCCCGCTGATGCTGGCACTTCCTAATGTTGCTGACTGGTTGCCATGGTGATCTCCATTCCCCAGGCCCCCATGTCGTCCCAAGGGGATGATGGGGCAGAGGGAAGCTCTCCCGGGGGGCTCCGTCTGGGCTGTTGGGGAACTGGCGCTCTTCCAGGAGTGAGGGTGGGCAGAAGGGCCTGCCCTGGGGCCTGCCCAAATCCCTCCCCTCCTCACAACCCTGGGGCACGGTGTCCGGATGGATCTGTGCTTCTGGGCTCCCCTCTCCTGAGGCCAGGCCCACCCCAATGGTGCTTGGTACCCAGGAGGAGGAAGAGCGAGATGAGAGTGGCTGTGAGGAGGAGGAAGGACGTGAGGACGAAGATGAGGACTCGGGCAGCGAGGAGAGCCTGGTGGACTCAGATTCTGACCCCGAGGAGAAGGGTATGTGGGTCTGGGCTGGGGACCAGGGGCTGGTGGGGCTGAGGTACCTGGCTACCAATGCCCAGGGATGGGGTTGGCCCTGCTTTAATCTCGAGGTGGTGGTATCCAGAGCCCAAAACTCCCGGATGCGAAACCAGTAACAATAACAGCAGCAGCAGCAGCAGTGATGATGATGGTGCAAGCACTCTGAATGCTCGCGGGCTGCAGGCTCTGGGCCCAGCTTAACCTTTCACATGGCTTGGTTCTTTCACTCCTCACCTCAACCCTATACGTAGGCATTGTGAGTTTCCCTGTTAGTTACCACTGAAGAACAAGCTCAGAGAGATTTAGTGACCTTCCTCAGTTTGGCCCTTGTAGAGCAGGGCATAAATCTAGGTCCAACTCTGGTGCGGAAACCCTCTCCTCTAAATAGGGACGTCTGCCCCCTCAGCTCTGCCCACTGCCAGCTCTGGCCCACAGCCCTGCAGGGTGCTCTCACTTTTCTCACCCTGTTCTACCCAAGCTGGGTCTTGTGTCATCTGCCACAGGTAGATGTTGGCTTTGGGCATGGCAGGACTGGGAAGGATGTCTGGACTCCCATCCCAGCTTCTGAGCCCAGTCTTGCATTACTGGGGCTGCTCTTTAAACATATTGCCCATCTCTGGTCGCTGGGCATGGCTGACCAAAGGAGGGCCCAGCCGCCGAGGACTGGCACATTTGCTCCCCATCTCCCCTTGCCCTGGTGCTGGACTGAATTTGGCTGTGCCCCCACAGAGGTGAACTTCCAGGCAGACTTGGCTGACCTGACATGCGAAATTGAGATCAAGCAGAAGCTGATCGACGAGCTGGAGAACAGCCAGCGGCGGCTGCAGACGCTCAAGCACCAGTACGAGGAGAAGCTGATTCTGCTGCAGAACAAGATCCGTGACACACAGCTGGAGCGTGACCGTGTGCTGCAGAACCTCAGTGAGGCCAGCGCCTTGCCCCGCCCCCAACCCACCCAGACCCCGCCCATATTCCCCCCACACACACTTTCCCCTGAGCCTCTCCTCTGTAAAAGCACTTCCTGCAGCTGGCATCTTGGGGATTTGCCTGACCTTCCGGGCAAGGGACTTCTGACCCTCTGACTGGGGGGTCCTTTGATCCACTGTTAAAAGTTTCTATGTTGGGCTGGGCACGGTGGCTCAAGCCTGTAATCCCAGCACTTTGGGAGGCCGAGAGAAGAGGATTGCCTGAGCCCACGGGTTTCAGGCCATTCTGGGCAACTTGATGAGACCTTGTCTCGACACTATATCAGAAAATTAGCTGGACATAGAAGACTGAGGCAGAAGGATTGCCTGAGCCCAGCAGGTCAACGCTGGGGTGTCTGAGAGTGTGCCACTGCACTCTAGCCTGGGCGACAGAGTGAGACTGACTCAAAAAAAAAGTTCCTATGTCTAACCCTCGTACCTGTGCTCCATTCTAAATTAACCTTTTTATTTCTCACTATCATCTCACATATTAGAATCCTGTATAAACCTGGACACGTGAGTGTGCCACTTGGTCTTTTCTCCTACATTCCTCTCCTTGGGGCTTTTCCTTTGTACCTGTTTGTAAGCTCTCTGCCACATTCTGTCTTCCTTACTTTGCCCTTACTCTGCCACTTGTTCTGTGTTTCGTTTATTCGTCTGTCCCTTCCCTTACTCAGCAAACATGTTGAATACATCTTTCAGAGCAGACATTGTCCTTGGTGCTGGAACTGTTAGAGTGAGTAGACTCCCTGCTTTCACGGAGTGTGCATCCTAGTGCGGAGAGACAGGCATAAAATAGCATGGCAGACAGCGATACATCTTACGGAGAAAATACAGCAGGGAGGAGGATGGGGACCAAAGGATGGTCCTGGAAGACTTCACCAAGAGGTGATATTTGAGCAAAGATTTGAAGGAGATGAGATAGTGTTAGAATGGAACGCGCCAGGAGAAGAGCATTCCGGGCAGAGGGAGCAGAAGATGGCAGGCCCTGAGGCAGGCATGTGGTGGAATGACAAGGGGGCCAGAATGGCTGCAGCACAGTGAATGGGGACAGGTCAGAGGAGAAGTGTGGTGCTAGGTCATGCCAGTCACTGCAAGAACGCTGCCTTATACCCTGAGGGAGATGAGGGGGTGTGGCGTTTTGAGAAAGCTACATGTTGTAAAATTAAAAAGCATTTTTAAAAGATCACTGCAGCTGCTGTATGGGAGAATGAAAGCGGCAGCTGGAGACCACTTAGGAAACTGATATAAAGACCCCAGGAGAGATGGCTTGGACAGGAGGCGGTGAGAAGTGGTTGGATGCTGGGCATATGATTGTGCGGGTTGAGCCAAGAGGCTCTGTTGATGGATGGGAGGCAGACGTGAGGGAGAGAGGAGCCAAGGGTGCCTCAGGGTGTGAGCTTCTGGAAGGATGGAGACGATACTTACTGCGAACGGGGAGGGGTAGAAATAAAGAGTCGGTCTTGTACCTGTTAAGTTTGAGATACCTGTTGACAGGGTGGAGAATCAGCTCATTCTCTGCTCCAGCCCATGTTCCTCTGTCTTCGCTTGCTAACTCTTCCCCTTCCCACTGGCTCCAGTTCTTTCTTTCTTTTTTTTTTTTTGAGTTGGAGTGTCACTCTGTTGCCCAGACTAGAGTGCAGTGGCCTCTCCCGGCCACCGCAGCCTCAACCTGCTGGGCTCCGGCGATCCTTCCGCCTCCGCCTTCTGC